TGAGAGAGAGAGAGAGGGGGGATATAGTTCGTGAGCCTGAACGTAAGCATTACTTTGACAACACTCATTGCTTAATCTTTCTAATATTCCTGAGATGCATGAATGTCTTTCTGTTTCCTCCTCCTCCTCCCTCTCCCCCTTCTCTTCCTTTTCCTCCTCCTTTTCTTTTTCCTCCTCCTCTTCCTCTTCCTCCTACTCTTGCTTCATCACCAGTATTAGTCCTACTTGCCCGTCTTCACATTATCCAGTGCTTCTTCGTCTACCCCAATAGCTCCTTTTTGTTTAATTTGTCCTCATTCTCGTCCTCTTTTTTTTACCTTCCTTTCCCCATGCTCCATTTTACGTTTCTCCTTGTCCGTCCTGTATTTACTACTCCAATTCTAATTATCCCTTCAATTTTACCATTAGACATCCCCCCCACCCCCTTGAAAAAATCCACTTCCACTTTTCCATGTCCTTTTTCCTGCTTTTCCCTCTTTCTCCTTTGGAACGTCAGGGTGTCACAGTGACTTTCTGCAACTTATAGAAAAGTATTCACAATCAATCGACAACAACACCAGAAGTATCGGCCTCTACTAAGTTAACAACCCCCTCCCCTAAAAAAGAAAAAAAAAGAAATAAGTACATCAAATCGTCGCAATTTTGACCATTTGGGACACAGGCTTCCAACCCTGCCTGTCAGGTCCAACCTTGGCAGAGACGTATACAACATCCCAGCAGAAAGACCGAGATACTCGATATAAATTCTCCCAACTCGGGAATCGAGCTGTGGTCTTCTGCATGCGAAAGCAACGTGCCTCACTGCTACGTCTTAGACACCAATGAGCCCGCCTTTGAAATAAAAACTTAAAATTATAACATTGTAATACATTTCTTCACGAGAAACGTCAAATGAAATCAGTGCATTTGCTAACTTGGACATGAAACGTTAGCCCTCAAAAATTCGAAAGGCCACGATCGGTGGGGAATCTTATTTGACATCGTGGTTAGTGTCGTCTTCATGTGTACATCACTCATTCTATTTACACTCTCCTCACGAGTTAACCTCAATTCAGCGCCTGCATTTATCTTCAGGCAGGTAACAAATAAGTCCAGACAAATGAAGCTGTTTGATTTAGAACTTCAGATAAGTACCCTGTCACAAAGAGATAGGCAAGTTGTAACACAGGTGTAAACATCCTTAACATTTTACTGGCTTTTTGTTCGTGCATAAATTGATTTCGTTAACTTTTTTTTCCAGTTGCATAATCACCCTGCAGTTTGCTTGGAGAGTAAAGATCAACAAAGGAATTCATCGTTCCCCTAGCATGAATCACAGTGTAAACATGTACATTTTATGCAATTTAAAAAAAATACTCTGGACTAATGATTTACGAAGTTGGGTTTTTTTGTCAACGTTTGAAGGAAGAATAATTTCCCGCTCACATTCATGGGCATCGAAGTTAATTATTATGTTCAGTTGCACTTTTTCTGAAATAGGATATGACTCGGCATGATACATCTCAGTCTCGTTCAAAACACTCATGGTGACTCTGAGGCTGCGAATGTACATGTTTAACTATAATATGTTCATTTTCTCTTTCCTACAGTTTCTTGCAGTTTTATCATAAACTGTTTCGCTGCTTAAGCGCATAGCTGTATATCAATACGTTGTGGACTGGCCATACGATTTAAATGTCTTTTAGTTTGCATGTTATATCGTTTATTCAATATTTATTTATTTACAAATAATGAAATGTTATAAAGAGCTGGAATTGAAGATAACAGAATGAAAGAGGAAAATGGGGATATTTAAGGCATGTTTTGAGAATGCCAGAGACAATATTGCAATATCAGACATGGTGCTGGAGACCAACTGGAAAAAGAAGAAGTTGACCAAGTGGAAGTAACAGAAGCATAGTCGGGGATGAGTAAATCACTCAGGGGCTAGACGTCCCAAGGTTAAAGGAAGTGGCCAGGGACAGACAAGCGTGGAGTCGACTGCTCTCTGCCTTATGTACGCACGTACCTGACGGTACAGGGAGAGACTATGTAAGTAAGCAGCATAGATGTATAACTCTAAGGTAAGTAGGTATATTTTACGGTTTAATCAAAGCGGCGATATCTTTTGATCTATTTGAACGCTGTGACCTCGATGGCGTAAAGCTATCTGAATAGTTGTGTACATTCGAGCAGCGTAGTTTTTTTTCTTATTGACAATAACCAAAGAGACGAAATTAGTAACGGCTTCCTATTTTCCAAGGGGGGAAATCCTGAAGTCCAGAGCATTTCAAACTCATGTGCAAATTCCCAGTGCATTTAGACGTAAGATAAATGAGACAGATCAGTGCAATTGTGGACATAAGAAAGTGAATGGACTATAGTTCTGTCTCTGTGACAATGATAAGTGTTTGAAATAGAAATATAATATGTCTCACGATACGGCGGACTTCGCGCTATTCGGTTTTGGGCATACAAAGTTGTTGGTATCATTTTCAAACGTGTTCATTTGTCTTGCTTTTGATGAAAAAATACTCATCTGTCTAGAATAGAAGTAGAGATATTTGTGATTGAAGGAGGCGGGGACGCCTGGTGTTAGAGAAAAATGTAGCGAGAAAGTGGTCACCATAGTTTAGCGACTTTCAAATCTCAATAGTTCTTGAAAAAAGCAAAATTACATTTTTTGCTGTGCCGTTGACCAACATTTTTTTTAGTAAAACCCACACGAGAATGTGGTCCAAAATGGACATGAAAGGGGATGAGTCAAAATAAACAACAGCAACAACAACAACAACAACAACAACAACAACAACAACAACAACAACAACAACAACAACAACAGCAACAACAGCAACAACAACAGCAACAACACACGACAAAAATTGCCCAACGGGCCGATGATGATTTCTCCCTTTTCATTATTTTGACTAACGCCTGATTTCATCACGATGCCCGCACACATCACCTCTCATATTCTATTCTTCCCTTTCTCTCTGAAAGTTTCTTTCTTCTCTACTGGACTTGGTTCTGGACTAGTCACTGGAATGGATTTGAAGTTTCGTGCTCCGTTCGAGTTCGAGCATCTAACATTATGGTAGTACCTGGATACCTGGAGGTGTCATCTCTGACTCAGATGTTGACGTGTAACAACCTTCCATCCTTCACGGTCACAAGCTGCCGTTGAACATTCTGCCATTCCCAGGCCAGTCCATGTTTTTATGTTGTCCATCCATGTAACTCTTTGTATTCCCATGAGGCTTCTGGTTGTGACCAGGTTCAAACCAACAACGACCAAACCCAGCAGCTGACATTTCATGTTAGTAAAGAAAAATATCTATCTCAAACTGACATTCACAGCTCAAGCTGTTGAACACAAGACTAAAGAGATCATCATCATCATCATCATCATCATCATCATCATCATCATCATCATCATCATCATCATCATCATCATCATCATCATCATCATTCTTTTAAAATTGTACCAAAGTAAAGTTTTGTAGGCATTTTTAAGGAAAGTTCTTACAGTTTTATGTAACTTTGGGATTAAACCACTAAAATTGTTGCCACCTATGATTCCTCAGAGACCACTAAAAGCTATCATCCCCTTCTTTCACTTCCACTTCCTCCTCCTCCTCCTTCTGAGTCATTTAATTTTTGTTGTGTTCCCTCTCGTTGATTCGAAGTATCAACTCCATATGATTTTGATATGACTAAATTTGGACTTCCATTTCTTTGTCTATATTCACGTTGACTCCAGACATATTTTGACTTTACACTAACCCTTTTACCACAACTCTGATTTAGCCTTATTCACGTTGTGAACACTTGAACCTAACGATACGTAACGATTACGAAAGACAAATGATATGACACGATATTCTGAATGTACTAGCATACCTGTCTTTTATTAGTCAAGATATTCGTACAACTGATATGAGTGGAACATGTTATATTACATTTTTTTGCTTTTCTGAACTAGAAAAAGGCATAATTTAGAAGCTTCAATGAGCTAAATTAAATATATTATGTGAATAGCAAAATTGGGGAATTCAACGCCATATTGTGAAGACGCAACACTCTAGGGTGAAAACCTTTAAACAGGTAGAGTACAATACAGTAAAAACGATCAGTATGTAAATGCACTGATGTAAACACACAAAACGACATGGAGCTAAAAATGAGAGTAAAAAGCAGTTGGAATGAGGATGATAAAAGAGCCAGAGGGTAGTTATCTTTTCCTGGGGATGTATAGATGGATGTGTAAGTTTCCACTGCTATCTCGTTTGAACATTGAACTCAGTGGCTCGATGAAGGCCGAGGTTGGGCTGACGTCAGTTTGACCGACTCTCGGAGCTCTGATGTCTTTTTGCGCACTTGTACGGGATGACCCCCGAGGGAACCTCCCCTGAGGACCTGGCTCCCGGTTTGGTGAGTACTGACCGAAGTTTGGTTTTTCCGCTTGGTCCGGAGTGGGGCTGTAACTGTTTTTGTTGTCTTCAAATCGAGAGAAGCTGACACGACTTTTGGGTGGGGGGATTTGGTCTTGTTTTGAAGAATCCACTAACTGTGTGTTCTGATAGTTCGCGTTGTCAACGCCAGGGGCTAGACCTTTGTACTTGTTTTGCCGTGTTTGAGCGAATGTCAGAGGAAGCCGGGATCCAGTTGGGCCGTCTGAGCCGTAGGACGAAGATTGAGGTGCGGAGGTCAAGTATGGGAAGTTGTCCGCAGTGTCGTACACTCCTGAGGGTTCTGCTGGATACTGGGACGATGGGTATCCCTGCAGCTGAGAAGAAGGATCCTGATACTCAGGAGCTAAATATGAAGTGTAGGGATTACGAACAGGGGGGCTGGCATACTGCTGGGTGTACTTTGATGGATTGTTATGGCCGTTGTATTGGTTTGAAGTTGGTATGGGGTAATCACCTTCCATTGGGAATGGTTTTCCAGCTACCAAAAATTGGGATTCCGAAGCGTCCCGAAAGGGCAAGCCCACCTGTCGCTCTCGCGCGAATTTCTGATTGGGGTGCATTCTAACATAAGGAACGAGAATACGTTCCGGCAAGCCTTGTGAAGAGGAGGTGACTGGATAATTTTGTTGAGGCGGTTGATTCGCATACGGTGTTTGCAGCGACACGCCCTGGTCTCTTGAAAAGGGGTCACCTAACAGCTGTGGCGAATACGTTGGTGGAGGTCTGTACTCAGGTCTAGTTTGAATAGGTGGTTCGTATGTGTTTATTGCTGGTCTGCTTGGTGGAAAACGGTCGTATGTGGACTCAGCTGGGTTCACTCTGTACTCAGGTCTGGGGTAAGTTTGGGGTCCAGAGTTATAAAATGAAGCTTGGCGGTTTCCAAGGAAGCCACCAGCAGTGGGCACCGTGTTCCTGTACCCAGACCCTGAGGTCAGCTCTGGCGGAAGCAGCTGAGGCGGTCTTGGATAGTTAAGATTTGGGGAAGGTAAAATTTGCTGCTCTCCTCTGTAGTCGTTTTGTGGAAAATACTGCTGGGTGCCCCCATTCCTTATTCTTTGGGTTAGACCTTCGGGCTGCTGAGGGTAAACTGAGTATGGACCTGGTGTCTGCTGGTTTGGGGCTTGTCCGAAGGGTATTCTTCCGCCCAAGTTTGAAGGGGGCTGGTAAGGAGTTGCCCGCGCATCTTGATAACCATTATCTGCACTGGAACCAAAAGCTGCCCCAATAGTACGCGGATCAACATCGCCATAAAGACGCAGATTCGGGGTGGGACTTTGATTGACTCTGTTTTGCAGTCTGGTCTGAGCAGCTGTGGAAACCTGTCTCTTGTCCCTCGGCACATCTCCTTCATCTTCACCAACGCCCTTGTGTTGAGGTTTTGTAAACGAATGCACCTCTGCAGGGTGATAGTCTGTCTCTGTCACACCGTTAGTTTCTTTGGAATGGCGATAACTTTCATATGGACGTATCCCGTAGCCTTGTGGACTGTTCCTTGAATAGGGCGGGTTTAGAAACCTGTAAGAATCGGTGGTCTGTCGGGCTTTGTACGAGTCGCGGTACAATAGCTCTGGGTAAGCCGGCTCTTGATCACGTGACTCGGTCACACGTCCGTACGCCTGACCCCCATTATTATCTTGACCCGATGACCCCTGATCAGACTGTCTCCGAGGTGGGCCCCTGTAAGAGTTGGAGAACTGGCCCCCTTTATATGGTTCATAGTCTGTCGCTGACGATGTGTACGGCCTTACTTGATAGGGTGACTCGGACCCTTGCTGTCTCCGGGGTGAACTTGAGTAAGAGCTGGAGTAATTGTTTCCATAATTTGGTTCTTTTTCGCTCTGTGAGGGCCTGTATTTATTGTTGTAGACTGTTTCTGTGGAATATGGTCTGCCACCCGGGCCGTTTTCATATGTAGAAACATAATTAGGGGAATTCCTGTCGTTATAGTCTGGGAAGGTTTGGTAATCATTGTCTTCTCGAGCTTGATTCGAGTATTTCCTAGCAGGATACCTAAATGAAGAGCCAGATTGAGGAGGGTATGAATTACTATTACTGTCCAGGTATGGGTCGTAATATGGTCGCCGCCTGCTTTCATTTCGGTTTCTGTAAATTTCATACTGATCTGAGTAGTCAGAATCAGGAGAAGGGTATACTGGTCTGCCTTTTTTAGGTCTTGAGAAATCTGACCGATAATCATGGCCCGAGTTTTCGAAGTCTGAGTTGGAAGAAAAGCGATGGTTGTTCGTATAATCGTTTTCGTATGCGGGTTTTTTATAGTAACGATCGTTGTATCTGTCACCGTCACGCAGACCCGGCTTTGAGGGCTTATAGTAAAAGTTTTTGGTTCTTGGAGAGTGTGAACTACTCTGTGGGTAATGGTCTCTACTGCCTTCGTACCTTTCTGAAGGTCTGCCATTATATTGGTCTTCGTGCCCGCGTTGTTCATAGAATGAATTCTCTGGTCTTCTTGTATTGTATGGTCTCCTGTAAGGTTTATTGTCATAATATCTCGAGGAAGGAGAAGCATTTTCGTAGTATCTGTCTTCCGATCGTTCATATCTTTCAGGGGGTGGCAAATAGTCTTGACGGTAAGTGTCTTTAGTCCTGTCAGTATTATAGAACGAATTTGTGGATCGTCTGTCCATATTGGCTCGGATGTCATCATTGTGTTGTCTTGGTGATGTTTCTCCTTCATAGTGTCTCTGTTCAGGCCTTGAGGTACCATACGTCTTGTCTTTGGGTCTTTCGCCATCGTAATATCTCTCTTCAGGCCTTGAGGTACCGTATATCTTGTCGTTGGATCTTTTCTCATAATACCGTGCATTGTCATAGTTACCCTCCTTGCGTCTTGGGAGCTCATTGGGAACTGAATACGGATTTGTGTTGTACGACACGCCATTGTTGACGGGCCCCGTGGGTGGTCGAGGGTACCGCGAGTCTTGGCGAGGTGCGTACAGTTCCGTATTTCCGCTATTGTAGTTATCGCCTGTAACGGGATTGTAATCACCTTTTTGATTTTCACCTTCAGAGCGAGAATCATACGAATCTGGGAGGGGATCGGAGAACCTTCTTAGGTCTACACGTTCGTTGGGAAATGTGGACTTAGATTGGGGAAATAAAAAAGCTCGCTCGTAAGGGTCGAGTTCATGTCCATAAAATTTATCAGATGGAAGAGGAACGGGTGGAACAAGACCTTCACCAGTCTTATAGCTGCCCTCTCCATTATAATCTTTGTTTTGGTCCCCATTGTACTTATTGTCTTGATTACTGTGATCGTAAGAGTCTCGTCTGTTGGATGTCGATGAAGATTGTTTGTTACTGTCGTACTGGCTTCTGTATGTCCCTGTAGATGTTCGATCATAGTCAAAATCTGACGTCTTTGGAGAATAACTGTTGTAATTCTTTGAGTTCCAGGAGCCCTGTTGCTGCATCTGCGGAAATCTTTGAGGCACATAGTTTTCAGCTTCACTTCCAGAGTCTGAGTTTCGGTCGTTTGACCTCCCATAGTTTAAACTTTTATGAAATTCCCTGTTGCTTCCTAAAGGTGTGTCATCGACCGGTGGCCCTCTTTTATTTGTTCGTGTTCGTGAAAACTCATTTGGTGGGTTTCTTGAGGTATGGCTTTCGTCATATCCGCCCTCAATACGAGGTATTTCCTTTGGGTGACTACGTGAGTAGGATATTGGACCAGATTTCCTTCGCAGTCCATGCTCTGATTCATCCGAAAACATTCGAAGAGGCACTGGGGGCAGAGAAACTTTTCGAAAACGAGAGGTCTGTCTCTTCCGCCTCAGCGCTGATATTTCGAAAATCTTTCTTACAGTAGACTTTACATTTGACCCCAAAGGTGGGCCTTGGAGAGAATTGACCTCTGCAATGTCGAAATCCAGGGATTTTGAGACATGTGGAAAGGACGCATCTTTTTGTTTGATGTCCGTACTCCCCCAAATAAACTTCTCAGGTAACCATTCTCTTGGCAGCTGTGGCCCCAAAGGCATGGTAGACTCGTCATTACGAGGAGATATGGGTGTGTCTTGTAAGCCCGACGAGGTTACCAACACAGCACTGCTCAGAGCAATGAGTGCAACGACGAGTGTCATAGTCGGCTCTGAGAACTGCAAGTGGCTGTCCTTGACTTGAGCTTAGACGCTGGTTGTCTTTGGGCTCTGGTGTTCCATACGTTGCCAAGGGCCCTGGTGGAAACATGTAAGTAAAATATGTAATAGATAGATAGATAGATAGATAGACAGATAGATAGATAGATAGATAGATAGATAGATAGATAGATAGATAGATAGATAGATAGATAGATAGCCGGTTAGTTAGATAGATAGATAGATACATACATACATACATACATACCTACATACCTACATACATACATACATACATACATACATACATACATACATACATACATACATACATACATACATACATACATA